CGCGCCAACCTGCTCCTTCGACGACCCAGTCGTGACTGTCAACTGCGCCTAGGCCAGCACGGTCTGCAGCTGCTGGACGGCCTGGGCGACGTTGGCGAGTGGTGCGACGACAGCCACTGCATCCACCGCCGCCTGAGCCTGCGCCACCTCTCCTTGTAGGTTGCCCGTGTCGGTTTCCAGGGTTGCGAGCAGCTTCCTGGCCTCCACGACCTCGGCCTCGAGCTCTGCAACCGCATCTTCTGTTTGTCCCGCCTTGCCTCCTTGACAGCGAAGCGATCCTTGGCGCTGCGGAGGAGGTCGCTGGAGTCCGTGGTGGACCGTGCCTCGGCTTCTCTGCGTTAGCATGGACTACCATCGTGTGTTCCTCGTGGTAGAGACGGCGCAAGGACTCCATGGCCTTCCTACAGTTGGTGTTTTCGCTCTTCGGGTCAGGAGCGCCAGCACCATCAGCACCAGGAAGAGTAGCCTCGCCTTCCCTCCAGGGCGGCTTGTCGCTGGTGTTCCTCCTGCGCGGTTGCACATCCTTGGTCGGCTCTCCACCTCGGCCCATGCCACACAAGAAGCATGTCGACCGGGAGGGGTAATTGGTCTGGCACCCGCACGGGCGTGTGGCCTTGCAGGCCCATGCCTTCCCGCTATTTTTCACAGACGTCCCACAAGGAAGAGCGTCTCCGTGGTTATCCTGAATATCTGCCTGGCCGCGGACAGCCGCAGCAGCGCACAGGCGCTAGCCCGCTGGCGCCGCAAAGGGCGGATGCGAGGCGGGCGATGGCGATCGCTGGCGCCCGCGTGCCCGAGACATCTCGCGCCCTGGGCAGGGCGGGACGACGCTGGGGTTTCGCGCGAAGACGGGCCGCCCCAGGCCCGCTGACATTCAAACGCCTGGAGGAGGAGAAAGAGGAGGAGGAGGAACAGCAGCAGCAAGAGGAGCAGGAGCAGCGGAAGCAGGAGCAGCAGGAGCAGGAGGTTGCCCAACGCAAGAAAAAAAAGGAGCAGTGGAGAAGGACCTCCCCCCCACCCTGGATCCTGGGCCATCTCCAGCGCGGCCACGCTCTCCTCCTCCGCCAGGTGCGCGCGCACTATGAGGCGCTCCGCCCGGGCCTCTCCGGCCGCCTGCAAGTGCGCGCGGGCGCGCGGGCGCACCGGAGGTCTCCATAAGTCCGGAGAGGCCCAGAAAAGCACAGAGCAGGCCAAGGCCTTCGACGTCGTCGTCAGCGTCGTCCGCCGCATCGTCCTTGTCGTCGTCGTCGTCGTTGTCGTCGTCGTCGTCGTCGTCGTCGTCGGGGCGTGCGCACGAGGCGACAGAGGACGCCAGCGGGGTGCCGCCGCCGATCCTCGGCAGGGGCCGGTCTGGCGGGGACCCTCCGCGGAAGAGTAGAAGCACAGAAGCATATCCCTTCTCTCCTCGAGCTTTCTCCCCGAGGATCCTGCTCATCCTCCTCGCCGTTCATATCACACCTGTGATTGCGGTAATCCTTGTAATCCAGCCAAGGAACACCCGAGTGGGCCTACTCCTCCTCTTCTTCTTCTTCTTCTTCTCCTCCTCCTCCTCCTCCTCCTCCTCCTCCTCCTCCTCCTCCTCCTCCTCCTCCTCCTCCTCCCCTCCTCCTCCTCCTCCTCCTCCTCCCTCCTCCTCCTCCTCCTCCTCTCCTCCTCCTCCTCCTCCCTCCTCCCTCCCTCCTCCTCCCCTCCTCAACATCCTACTCCTCCCTCCTCCTCCTCCTCCTTCACATCCTCCTCCTTCTACTGTTCCTCCTCCTCCTCGTCATCATCAGCAGCAACAGCATCATCATCATCATCATCATCATCATCATCATCATCATCATCATCATCATCATCATCATCATCATCATCATCATCATCCTCATCCTCATCCTCATCGTCATCGTCATCATCGTCATCATCAGCATCATCATCATCAACAACATCATCATCATCAGCAGCAGCAGCAGCATCATCATCCTCAGCATCAGCATCATCAGCATCAACATCGTAAGCATCATCAGCAGCAGCATCATCACCATCATCATTGTCATCAACATCATCCTCAACGTCACCATCATCATCAGCATCATCAACATCAGCATCGTCATTATCATTAGCATAGTCATCATCCTCAGCATAATCATCATCATCATCATCAGCAGCAGCAGCATTATCATCATCATAAATCATAATCATCATCAGCATCATCATCATCATCATCATCAGCATCATCATCATCGTCATCGTCATCGTCATCGTCATCATCAACATCATAATCAGCATAATCTACATAAACAGCATCATCATCTCCATGTCCATCTCCATCACCAGCATAATCAGCATAATGATCATCATCTCCATGTCCATCTCCATCTCCATCAATCCATCCATCCATCCATCCATCCATCCAGCCAGCCAGCCAGCCAGCCAGTCAGTCAGCCAGCCAGCCATCCATCCATCCATCCATGCTCCTCCTCCCCCCCTCCTCCTCCTCCTCCTCGTCCACCTCCTCGCCCACCTCCTCCTCCTCCTCCTCCTCCTTCTCCTCCTCCTCCTCCTCCTCCTCCTCCTCCTCCTCCTCCTCCTCCTCCTCCCCCTCCTCCTCCTCCTCCTCCTCCCCTCCCCCTCCCCCTCCCTCCTCCTCCTCCTCCTCCTCCTCCTCCTCCTCCTCCTCCTCCTCCTCCTCCTCCTCCTCCTCCTCCTCCTCCTCCTCCTCCTCCTCCCTCCTCCTCCTCCTCCTCCTCCGCCTCCTCCTCCTCCTCCTCCTCCTCCTCCCCTCCTCCTCCTCCTCCTCCTCCTCCTCCCCCTCCTCCTCTTCCGCTTACAGCCCCCCCCCCTGATCTTGGTGACAGTGTCAGCGCGCATGCGAGAGAATCAACGTTCGAGGTCGGCGGCGCTCGGGGGGGGGGGGGCGAAGCGGAGAACGCGAGGGGGCCGGGCCCCAGATCTGGCGGAAACCAGTGCGCTCCCCAGAGACGCCGCATGGATTCGGCATCCCCGAGTGGGGAACGTCAGGGGGGGCGTGGGCTCCGAGGGGAAACACCGCCGACCTGGAATTCGGCGATGCATCGCTGTTCGATCGGCGATGAGCGCAGCTGCACGGCCCTGGGCGGAGTGGGCTGTCGAGCCACCATCGGCGGTGCATTGGTCGCTCGCGGGTCGAGGCATCCGCCCCCGAGCCCTTCCCCCCCTGACGTTGCCCCTGGGACCTGATCGAAATCAGCGCGCTACCCCTAACGTTGCCCCTGAGCCCTTCCCCCTGAGCCCTTCCCCCCCTAACGTTGCCCTTCCCCCCCTAACGTTGCCCCTGGGACCCTGGCTCCCGCATCCCGCAGATGGTGGAGCCCGTCCGCTGGCGCCCACGCGAACTGCTGCAACAAGGGGCGCTGGAGCCCCCTTTTAGCACCCGAAGGGCCTGGGTGCACGAGGAGGGCTCGGGGGAGCAACCACGGAATGACCCAAGGAACAGCGAGGCCCGTCAGACCACAAAGCGGTCCTTATTTCAGCGTCTTTACTGTAGGGAGCAAACAATACCTCCCTGGCGATATCGTTCGTACCACAAGCAAGTTTGAAATACATGTTCGGCGGCCACCCTCTGGCGATATCGTATCGCTAGCACATAGACTGAAAAAAATGAATTATCAGTTTCGCCGCTCGCCTATGGGAAAGGCCATCGAGAGGCCTAGAATGAAAGGAACGCCGAAAGGCCATGAGACTACCAATGTGAAACCAATCAGAAATTCCCTCCAGCAAACTCTGGAGACCTCTGGGGACCTCTGGGACCTTTGAAGGAGGAATGAGAGAGAGAGAGAAGAAGGAGAAGGAGGCGGAGGAGGAGGAGGACGAGGAGGAGGAGGAGAAGCGGGAGGAGGAGGAGGCGGAGGAGGAGGAGGCGAAGGAGGAGGAGGCGGAGGGGAAAAAGAGGAGGAGGAGTCTGCGGGTTATATCGCTTCCGCCCTCGCCCTGGTGCCGGAAGCGATGTAACCTCCTCTGGGGAGGGGGGAGGTAATTACTGATTGCCTCCTAGGGTCATGAAGCCCTCCTGAATGGGGCCAGAGCAAAGTGGGGTCGGAGAATTCGCACCGCATGCTGGAAGCATCAGCGATGCAGCAGCGGCGTCGGCATGGAGAACATCGGGCTCTGGCTCGCGTGCGCGATCCTCCTCCGGCCCCGTCTGCTCTGGCCCCGTCCAGGAGGCCCGAAGCGTCTGCCTCATCCGATGTCTTCGGGCCTCGCCTTGGGGCCTTGAGTCTGAGGACAGACCCAGATGAGATCGAGAGAGCGCGCGCCGAGTTCGGTGACGGGACGCAGGAGAGCAGCGAGACTAGAACAGACGCACAGCCCCAGACCACGCCAGAGACCGAGGGCCGAGAGAGCTTGCGACATCCTGGGTCTGAGGAGGTACCGCAGCGCAGCGGCGAGTCCGCGGGCGCACTGGCGCCCGGCGCGCGCGCCGCGGCGCGCGCGAGCGCGGCGCCGGGCGGCAGATCCCGGCAGGGCGCTGGGGGTTCACCCTCGACGGCCTGGAACCCGGACCTCCGGGCGCCGCGGGGCTGATCGCGACGGGCCTCGGCTGCCCCGATGCGCAGCACGCAACGCGTATAGCATGCTGACATCGAGCTCAACACGTAGACTGAAAACGAAGGTCCAGCGCGAGACCTTTGCCAGAACGTGGACCGACACGTGCCGAGCCAACACGCAGCTTGTTGACACGCGCACGTGTTGAGCATGGCACGCGTTGGGCTTCAGCAAGGGCGCATCCGGGCAGTTCAGCGACGGGCACATCCTCACGATCTCGACGCATCCCGGGCGGCAGGGGGGGGTCGTCCCTGGGCCCCGCGAGGCCCGCAGCAGGACGGCCACAGGAAGCGACCCGCGGCGAGAGAGGCCGTGGTCCCGGGGATGGGCTCGGGAGCTCCAGGCGCCCGCGTCGGGGAGCAGCACCGCGGCGACGGAGGCCCAGCAAGCTTCGGACGAGCACGCGGCGCGCGGCGGCTGTACACGGACCGCGCGCCTCAGGACCCCGGCGGCGCGCTCCGCTGCCAGAGCTGCAGGCTGCCGTTCTCGGCCCCCAGCAGGAAGATGCCGTCGTGCCCCGCGCAGCAGAGGCTCTGCACCTTGCACCGCTCCAGCGCCTGCCAGTGGTGCTTCAGCTGGAACATCGGGAGCGTGATCGAGCTGACCTGCCCCTTGGAGTGCCCGCACAGCACCCGGGGCCCAGAGTCCAGCCCAGCCATGCACAGGACGGGGCCTGCCGGCATGGGCGGCTGGCACAGCTTCTGGTTCCCCGCCGGGTCGAAGATGCAGACTGTGCCGTCGGCATAAGACACTACCATGTGACCCTCGAACTGCAAGAAGCCCGACACCAACTTTCTGGGCTGGAGCTGCTTCACGACTCTGAGGGTAGCGAGCTCCACGATGGACACCCCAGAGGTACCTCCCACCCATAAGCACTCGCTGAGCACACACATGCACTGAACCGCACCGAGGATGCCCTCGCTGACAGAGGCGGTGCAGGAGAAAGTGCTGGCGCCTGCCGGCATCGTCCAACACCTCACAACCGCGTCCGCGCCCGCAGAAAGCAAGACGTGCTGGTGCTGCAGCAGACTGGACACGCGCTTGGAGCTGGACGGATCTGACAGGGTGAGGTCCTGGCCGGACTTCGAGAAGCCGCGGATCTTGCCGTCGCCCAGGCCGCAGAAGAGCCACTCGCCCGCCGCCACCAGGCACCAGCAGACGTCGCCGAGGGGCACCTCCAGGTCGGCGGTGAGCTCGAAGCGGCCAGAAGATAGCTTCTGCGGCTTCCACCTCTTGAGGAGCTTGTCCCGCGACGCAGTGTAGATGGCATCTTGCTGCATCACGATGGCCATCACCGCGTCGGTGTGGGCCTTCTGAATCTCCTGGTGGCGCAGAATCGCGTCCTCGGGCGCTGCGTCTACCTGCCTGGCGAGCGGGAGCGACGAGGCCTTGGTGGCGCGCTTCCCCTGCGCCTTGGCCTTGTTCTTCTTCTGCTTCTCGGGCTGCCGGATCACCCCAGGGGCGGACTCGTCCTGAGGGCGGCCACGCCCGCGATGATGGCAAGAGTCGCCCCCCACAGTGGAGGGGGGAAGGGCAGAGAGGGATGGACGGGACGGGAGTTGGGACCACTGGGGATCCCAGAACGGTGCGGTGACCTCGGCATCCCCAGCGGCCTCGCCGCACGGCCCGTCACTGCATGGCTTTGGGACCTCGGTTTGCCAGGCCCTCTCGACGTCGAGGTCGTCGCCGACGACGACCACGACGACGACGACGACAAAGACGACAACGATGACGACGCCAACGCCGACGCCGAGACGAGACCGAGCCCCAATTGGCACCGCGGCTTTGGCTGCCCCAGCGTCCGCGAAAGGGTTCTGCTGGCCGCGCCCTCTGCCGCGCCCCGCCTGGTCTGGGGAGGCCTCCTCCTCCTCCTCCTCCTCCTCCTCCTCCCCTCCTCCACCTCCTCCTCCTCCTCCACCGCCTCCGCCTCCGCCTCCGCCTCCGCCTCCTCCTCCTCCTCCTCCTCCTCCTCCTCCTCCTCCTCCTCCTCCTCCTCCTCCTCTGCCGCGCCCCGCCTGGGGCGGCCGGCCCCTGCCTGCGCGGGTCCTCGCCATGGCGGGCCGGGGCCCGCCCCCGCGGCGGTCTCTGGAGTGAGCCAGGAGGGGCCGCAGAAGGCGCTGGCGAGCGGCCGCACCACGGGCGCACAGCGCCCGCTGCGCGAGGAACAGGCGCAGAGACTGCGGCAGCAGCGGTGGCGGCAGGGCGAGGGGGAAGAGGCGGCGGGCCGGGGCACAGAAGGGCCTGCTCGTCGTCGTCCCTGCCCTCGTCCGCCAGCGCCCAGGCCTCCTCCGCGTACCGCTTCGCCTGCGAGTACTGGCCTGCTGACTCGGCGCGGGGGCATCCCAGGAGGGGACGCCCCAGAGAGGGGCTCGCAGACCATGGCCCGAGGCACGTGCGCGGCCCAGGGGGGGGCCAAGGGACGTGTTGAAAAGACGAAAGGGCCATGCTATCTGGAGAGATACCATGGCGCGGCCATGAGATCCACCCACAAGTCATCACCCCGCTCCTGGCCACCCCCGCGCGCGGGGCGGGCGGGCGGCGGGAGCGACGTCCTGCAGAGGAGGCCGCGGCAGCGAAGGCCGCAGGAACGGCAAAATCCACCCCTGCGCCAGGCTCTTTGGACTACCTACCAGACCACCCCAACCCAACCCGAAGATCCGAATTTGACCCGAATTTCGGGTTGGGGGCGGGTTCCATGTGTTTTTACCATTGTTCCCCGACCCCCCCCCCACTGGAAATGGAGGGCAAATTGAAGCCCTCAGGTTGGGTTGGGGTGGTTTGGTGGGTGGTGATCTTTGGAGTGGCCATCGGAAGGGACCGCAAAGGTCGACGGGTCGCGGCGGTCACCCCTGGGATTACCCCTTCAGCACCACTGCGGATGGATGCAACGACTCGGTGACCAGTGGAAGCATAGAAAAAATCCTCTCTCTGCGTGGCTGCTGGACGGGCTCCGTGGGTGCTGCACACGGCGGCGCTTGCGCCGTTGTGGGTTTCTGTAGCTTGTCGCTTTGGGGAGTTTTGACGACGGGGGCATGGGGGCACCGCGTGTTCCACCAAACGCCGTTTTCACGGGCACCGTTTTCACAGGTAAGCCGCTGGGACTCCTACTGATATGTTCTCCAACGCGGCCGCTTAATGCGGTAAATTTACATACGGCACCGCGTATGAGTACATATGTTGAATAGCCAACTCACTTTGCGGAACTACTCCAGGGTTAAGGTGTTCCACCAACCAGCGTGCGTCTGCGCCTACCACTGCATCCATATCCACCTCTGCGTCCGCGCCTGCGCCTCGCACACGCCCACGCTCACGTTCGTGCGCTCGGTTTGGTCAGCGGCAATGCGCACAGTCGACAAGCGGCGGAGCGAGTGAAGGATGCGCACACACGCAGAACGCGACAGGAGGCGAAGGAGTTGGAGGAGATGCGGCCGCGAGAGGGAGGAGACTGGAAGAGAAGGCCCGTGGACGCTCTTGCATCGCTCTTTTGCTCATCCTCCTCCTCCTCCGCCTCCTCCTCCGCCTCATCATCATCATCATCATCATCATCATCATCATCATCATCATCATCATCATCATCATCAGCATCACCATCATCATCATCAGCAGCAGCATCATCATGATCATAATTAGCATCAGCATCAGCAGCAGCATCATCATCAGAATCATCAGAATCATCAGCATCATCATCATCATCAGCAGCAGCAGCAGCACCACCATCCGCTGCATGAACAGCATCATCATCATCAGCAGCACCACCACCATCATCATCATCATCATCAGCAGCATCAGCATCACTATCATCAGCAGCATCATCATCATCATCAGCATCAGCAGCATCATCATCGTCATCGTCATCATCATCATCATCAGCACCATCATCAGCATCATCAGCATCATGATCATCATCGTCAACGTCATCGTCATCATCATCATCCTGCTCCTCCTCCTCATCATCATCATCATCACCTCCCCTTCCTCCGCCTCATCCTCCTCCTCCTCCTCCTCCTCATCATCATCATCATCGTCATCAACCTCCTCCTCCTATTCATCCTCCTCCTTTTCCTCCTCCTCCTCCTCCTACTCCTCCTCCCCCTATTCCTCCTCCTACTCCTCCTCCCCCTATTCATCCTCAGATTCCTCCTCCTATTCCTCCTCCTCCTCCTTTTCCTCCTCCTCATCCTCCTCATCCTCCCCCTCCTTCTCCTCCTCCTCCTTCTCTTCCTCCTCCTCCTTCTCCTCCTCCTCCTCCTCATCCTATTCCTCCTCCTCTCTTCCTCTTCGTCGTTTTCTTCTTCTTCTTCTTCTTCCTCCTCCTCTCCTCCTCCTCCTCTCCTCTCCTCCTCCTCATCATCATCATCTTCCTCATCCTCCTCCGCCTCCTCCTCCTCCTCCTCCTCCTCCTCCCCCTCATCCTCCTCCTTTTCCGCCTCCTCCTCATCATCATCATCCGCCTCCTACTCCTACTTATCCTCGTTTCTTCCACCCCCGCCCTCCTCGTCCTTCTCACCCCCTTTCAGCATCATCAGCATCATCACCACCAGCACCATCACCATCATCATCATAATCAGCACAACCATCATCATCCTTACCACCACCACCATCATCATCGCCATCCTCATCATCGTCATCATCAGCATCACCATGAACATGATCACAACCCTCAGCAGCAGCACCAGCACCATCATCAGCACTAGCATCAGCATCATCATCGTCAGCATCGTCAGAATCCTCTTCCTCCTCCTCCCCACTTTCGAAGAGGACGTCAATGACCGCACCTGTCACAACTCAACTGCAGCCCAGAACCCCCAATGAGAGGACGGTGGGAAAACACCAAATACGGCGGAACGAAGCAGGGAATCTGGCGGAGGGTAACTCTGAAGATTTGTACGAGGTCAGTGGCCGAGTCTCCAACCCAGCAAGGACAGCGCAAGTGTACTTCGAAGCATACGCATTAGCAAACAATGAAAAAACTTAGCGGGTGCAAGCAATAGGCTACCATGGTGTGGGTGTAAGCGTGCAGGGGCTCCCTAATTCCCGGTACACTTTAAAAATGTCGAAAAGCACCGAATCATGCAACATGCTTACCCGATTCTGCTGTATCGGATTTCAATCGCGTTGGCGAGCACTTGGATCTCAACTGACCCTGAGCTCAAATATCTGGCAAAGCGGCAAGTCGGCGAATGGGAGAGCAATTTTGTGGGGAGCGCACTTCATAAACTCACGGGGCTCGACCCAGCGTTTTGTGGCATTGTCTTCGGCAGAAGCGGAATATTACGGAATGGTTGAAGGTGCGCCTTTGTAGCATTAGGGCTTCGAGCGGTTCTCGAGGGCTTTGAGGTTGATTGCGGCATCTCGTGAAAGAGCGATGCAAGTGCGGCCATTGCCATTGCGAGCGGGCGCGGGGTAGGAACGGCCACGCACATCAAAGTTTGCCAACGTTGGTTACACGGAAAATGCGGCGAAAGTACATCAATGTGATCAAAGCAAAGCGCAGACCTATGAACATTTCGCAGATGCTCCAACGGAGTATGTGAGTAGAGATGTCCATGCATTTGCGAGGTACCAACCAATACCTTGCTTGCGAAAAAGGCACGAGCTGGCTCTCGCCACGGCGTGTTAGCTACCTGTATAGTCGGCCGATGTCCACACAGTTAACTAAAACACTCATTTAAGATACCAGTACTTATACCCATACCTGTCGTGGTTCTCGAGGTACTTGCTTATTGTGTGAAAATGTTCCACGCCCCCCAGATTGGAGCTGACATGGAGCGCGCAAGCTCGTTGACTGAAAACTGCATGTCCGAACGTTCCTGCGCAAGATAATCTGCCCTGGCCACTAAGGCCTGGTTGGTCTTAACATCATGACTTGGGGGGACACCTTACCTTGCCTGCTCCAAGCACATTTCCTTGACAAATATCTACGCGTACCTTCGATCCGCCTCATACCATAACCCATCCTGGTTCCAGTCCAATTCCGCCGAAAATCCTGATTGCCTTCAAATCGGCTGGCCCAAGTCCGAGACTGCCTCACATTTACATGATACCGGAGAAAAACCAAATCATAATCTTTTTAGGGCTACAGGGCTATGGGGCTATAGGGCTATAGGGCCGTAGGGCTATAGGTCCATAGGGCCATAGGGCTAGAGGGCGATAGGCACATAGAGCTATAGGGCTATAGGGCTATAGGGCTAGAAGGGTGTAAGGTTATAGGGCTATAGAGCTACAAGGGCTATAGGGCTACAGGGCATTAGGGCGATTGGGCTATAGGGCTATAGAGCTATAGGGCTATGGAGTTTTGGGGCTATAGGGCCAGAGAGCTATAGGGCTACAGGGCTATGGGGCTATAGGGCGATTTGGCTATATGGTTATGAAGCTATAAGGCTATAAGGCTCTGGGGCTATAGGGCTATATGGCTATAAGGGTAATAGGGCCATGGGGCCCATAGAACTATAGGGCTATAGGGCTGTAGGGCTATAGGGCTATTAGGGCTATAAGGCTATAGGGCTATAGGGTTATAGGGCTATAGGGCTATAGGGCTATAGGGCTATAGGGCTATAGGGCTATAGGGCTATTAAGTTATGAAGAGAAAGGGCTATAGGAGCATAAGTACCGGGCAACCAGGCAACCGGGCACCCGGCCACCCAGGCGCGCCGTCGAAATCGGCGCCGATCCTCACTTAACCATGTAAAATCGCTAGGACCCCTATAGAAGCAAGCTCTGGTTGGGGAACTTCAAACCTCCCCTCGACTTCATGCGCGAACGGTTCGAGACCAACGTCATTACCCAATAAGCAAAAATCATCCGCATGCACCGTGAGCCAGATTCGCCCTGTTCTACGTTAAGAAAGACATGGTGGCGCTGCCCCGCTGCCAGAACCGAGTCCACGCGCAACATCCACGCAGCAGTCTTCCCACTTGCCGGCGGCGTCTCGGGCCCCGCACACAGCTTAAGTATTCCACAGATGCCCGGTTCACGATCTTCTTCGGGCAACTGAAGATGTCCTCTTTGGCCTCGGCGTAGAAGCATGCCGCAGAACGTCAATAACACAGCTAGG